ATTTTAGGAATCACCGACCATATTATAACTGTGGAGACAATCTCTATTGTTCAGTCCTTTCAGATCGTCTGTTAATCTCTGGTGGCACTGGTAAGTGTATTTAAATGGGTAAAGTGAAAGAAGTTTAAACTCTATTATTGTGGAATTTTAAGTAATTACCATGTCATGCTGCATAATATACATGCTTTATGACCTTAGCCTACAAACAATTGCCTATACCTATATATGTACACTGACACTTTTATGTACCAACAAAAACAGATATAGATTATTTCAATGGGCTGCTATTACTATTTTTAATATTAAGTTCTTGTACACACAGATCCACAGTTGCAAAACACTGCAGGCCAAGAGGGACATAGAATAAAAATATTCCATTAAATTCTTCCCTCTTTTGACACGTGTTCCTGGTTGTTTCTTATCTTTTAACTACCCTCTATTTTTGGCTTGTCTCTCTTTCCGTTTTAAAAGGGTAGTGTGCAGAAGTTTTGGAGTCAGATAAGCTGGTATCTGAAATCCCTGGTTTTACTTCTTGCCCATAGCCACAAAGATAAAATGTACCCTTTCTGTGCTCAGTTTCTCATGTGTAAAAAAGAGAATAAAATATGTGACATAAGGTATTGTGGTTGCCATTTTTTAATAATTATTTATTGAGGACTTAAAACCCGTCAGTCTCTGTGCTAAGTACTTGGTGATAAGCAGAGAAAAAGAAAAACCTCTTTTCCAAGCTGAAACATAAATTCTATTATTATTTATCATCCCACAATTTAATCTGAACATAAAAGAAGACAGAAGTAAATTTAATTCCTGTGGTCAAAAAGATTGACTTCAAATTTCCTAGCGGAGATAAACATATTAAACTAAATACATCTTCCCTTTCACTGAGTTCAGACTAGCACAAGCAGGAGGTACCAAACATCAAGTTTCTATATCTATTTGGTTTTAATGAGATCCATTAAACCTAACCTCATTTTCCCCACTTAACTTTACAAACTTTATATTTGGTTGGTTTGTTCATAATATATTTCCCCTTTCACACAATATTTAATTATTTGCTGATACTTTTAACAGAGGAAATTCAGTAATTATGTTAATAAATTTCAGATAGAGAAACAGGTTTATTATACTAAATAAATTCAACTATTTGAATTTATATGACTGGAATCACATTAAACAAAGCAATACAATATATCATATAATGTTGTGATATTAGGAATTTGATATCTCAAGGAGCCATAATATAGCAAAAGTACCACATAGAGATTAAAAAGTCAAAGACACATAACTGACATATATAAGGGTAATTTTAAACCAATCATAATTTAAAATTATCTCAGATTTCCCCAGAGAAATTCAGTATACCAAAAATACATGATAAACTTTTACTTCAGATTTTAAGTATATAAAATATCTTGTGGGAAAACAGTATATTTTGATTCAGCCATGCAAATTATTGCCATATCTTCATTTTACTAAAAAGCTTAAGCATGTGAAGTACTGTAAATTGTACAATATTTACCTTTATGCATGTGGAATTAAAAAAGAAATAGCAGTCATTCCCAACTTCTGCCATTTTCAACTCTCTTGCTGCTAATCCAATGATTGTTTATATATAAATATATAAGAATTGCAGGAATGAAAATATAAGAACTATCAGTGTGTAAGGGGGAAAAAGAATTTCTTTTCCACAGTCTTTCAGGCTATCAGTAGCATTCCTTTAAAATTGACCTCCTGTTGATAGTATATTACACAATAGATAATTCTTAAATAAACTTAAATTAGAAGATACCTTCTCTAGCTTTGCAGAAATGTTGAAAGTGGTTGCTAGTAAGCACACAAACTCAAACTTCCAGAATTTTCCCCACTGATACCTAATCCATTGTTTGCTCATCATAAATGACCTCACCTGTAACTGTAGGCTAGTATACTTGCAGGCTAATTTTCCCTTACTCAATTCTGGTTTATTAACCCAGAAAATAAAAAAAATAAAGCAGTATATTTTATTTTTTTTCAGTGTTCTGATTGAATATGAAACATAGTTTATGTTTTCACATTTAAAAGTAGTATAAATATTTCATAAGTAAACAGCTATTTCTAAACCATTTTCTTTATATTCTGTGAAAACAAAACTAAAAATTTTTAAATAGAATATGTAAATGTGCTATCCATATTCAAGCAAATAAGAACAATTATTTAAATATTGTACTACAATATGAATATAAATTGGACCAATTATTCACTTTATAGTTTTATCTCATTTCTCATACATCAAAAAAGGAATGCCTTCTTTCTATAGTAGAAAGTTTTCAGAGAGATTGAAAATTTTAGTACTCTGATTCACAGAATGAAACATTTAGATCAGTAGTTACTACAATCCTCATGCTACTGTCTTACTAAATGAATCAAAACTTGGCAGAAATCAATAAAAATGTTCATCACAGGCAATTTAGAGGTTCCCAGGGAGATGACAGATTACAGTAGATTGAAAAAGCAATATCATTTTAACTGGAAATTTCAAAGATCATGACAAATAAGAATTTCCACTTTGGTTAAGTTAAACAGGCTAAGTTGGTATGAACCTTTTTGATACAATGTTTTTTAAATTAAAATCTAGAAGACAAAATAAATATTTTAAAATGTTGTTTGCCTAAAACTGTTAGATAAAATAATGAAAAAAGAACTAAATAGTACTATAAATAAATAAAGAGTAAATAAAGATTTGGCTAAACCCTTGAAAATATTTGCAAAGATATACAGAAAAATATATATTGACTTTTGTTTAGCCCTCCTTTTAATTCTAATTCTACTATTATTTAAATTTATTTTATTCATACATCTGGAAGAAAAATCATTAAGTGGTAAAATCTTTCTCTATTTTTGAACTTGGAATGTCAATGGACCGTATTCAAATACTAACGCTACTAGTGTATAATTAAATGATTTTACATAGGTGGAAAAGAAGGGGAAAAAAAAGCATTTTTACCTCTTGAAATTAGGTGCCAACAGCCACATTCAATTAGACACAGCAAAAGCAGGTCAAATCCACATAGAGATTGTTTCATTGCAGAGCACATTAATAGAATCTGTACATTTTGGTAGTCTTAAGGATACTGGAGTTTTATCTTCTCCTTTTAAAAATTCTCTCTTCTTCTATTTTATTATTTTTCTTTCTTCATTTCTATTCTTTCCTGTTGCAAATTTCCCTTTCAGAAAGCTATCATCCTATGCATAAGGATTTTTATTATCTATAAAGAAAAGTGATAGGAACTTTGTCTTTTCACCTAGGAGTAAGAATGAAAATTCTTATGCATTTTCTATTGGTTAAAGCAGAATTACCCTCAGTGTCCTCCTTCTTGATGCATGTTAGAGTAGTGACCCATCAGTCAGAGATAATTTTTTTTTTTTTTCAGTTTGTAATCCTGTAACAACACGTTTTGTGACTGGTAGCAACTTCTTGTTCTCTTTGGAGATTTTAAGAATCAGATGAAGCTGATGACTGTTACCCATCATAGTAGGTGTCTGGTTTAGAACTGTGATTTGACTCTTTCCCTGAGTGTTTCTACCAGAGACTTTGTTCTGGTTGCTGATAAAACTAAAGTACTGGAAACAGGGCTTCATGAAAGGTGATTAGCTTTGCTTCTACTATTCAAAGAACAAGTAGAATGTTTTGAAAGATCATATTTTCTCAAATATAACAGAATGTTGCACCTAGAAGATTCTGAGGCAGTTTGAGAAATGACAGTTGCTAGTTGTGAAGGTTACTTAATTGTCTCTTCCAGTCACACAAGGTGACAAAACTGTTTTTTAGAATTCCTTTGGAGGAAAAAAGTCACGAGTTCTTAAATCTAAAATGCTAAGATGTTTCTAGTTCCAAATATCACAGAGCCACCATCATATTTTCTCTTCTATTTTTTTTTTTTTTAATTTGGGGGTGGTGGTTGTGTTTTCCTAGGAAAAAATTACAAGAAACACTTTGAAATGGCGAATTTTTTCCTCCCACCCTTCCCTGTATATCAAATATCTGAACTTCCTTTTTAGGAATATTTCATTCTTTGGGAGTCCCTTTATTGTACAGATAGCTTCAAGTGAGATTGTTTAATTTTTGTAAGGGCTATGTCTATGAAATTCTGGACAGTTGGACACATGTAGACAACATAATTACAAAAATTACTGGGCTTATCCAGGCACATAAATGATGTGTAAAGTAAAAATTTCCTTAAAATATAGGCTGAGGACTAAATTTTAGAAAATCTACTATTATTTAAATTTATTTTATTCAGTCATTGTCTTTATCACTTACTGTCTTTATCACTTATTTTGAGAAATGTCAAATAAGATTTTTTAGTTCTAATTTTTTTAGCTCATGACAACTACTCATGTCATTTATTGGAACTCAACTTCAATTAAAGTAAATAAGAATCTTACAAGAAACTCAACAGTGTGATATGGTTGTTTGTATTCCTGTGGTTTTGGATTGGTGAAACGTTAACACTTTGCACTCATTCTGGAAAGTCCATCAGAACCAATTTCAAACATATTATATGCTGCACCGGTGAAAGCAATTCAATTTTTTTTTTTTTTTTTTTTTTTTTTTGGTCTCAGGTGTTTTAATTGCAGCGTTTTCTGACTTTCTGGGAAATCAGTTTTCTCTCTGAGATCAGAAAATATCTCCAGTTATTTCTAAACTTCTATAGCGCTTCCCCCACGAAAAAGCAAATAAGTTTCACTACTACGGTGTTAAATCACCATCTGTAATTACTGATCACTTACAACTTGACACTGTTTAAAATCGACAATGTCATCGGTTACTAGGTGTGGCCACGTACACAACGTCGGAAACGGACCTCGGTTTTTTTCAGTCATCAAAACTGTGGGGGGGACACACGTGGGAGCGCACACCCTGGCGCCTCGGCGCCGCACTACAACTCCCAGAAAGCGCCGCGGCCAGGAGGCCGCTTCCGGTCCGCGTCCCCGCCCCTGTCTCGGGTAGGCAGTCTCGGAGCGCCGTCGCTGTCCCTGGGTACCGAATGTGAGTGATCTGAACCCGCATAGGACTGCTGCTGCTCTCTGTTGTCCAAACCCGGAGCCTTTTGGCAGTAAAGTCGCTCACCGCTTCTGGGGCCTACCATGAGACGCTTGGGCTCTGTGCAGCGGAAAATGCCCTGTGTGTTTGTGACGGAGGTGAAAGATGAGCCTTCCGCCAAAAGGGAGCATCAGGTACCGCGCACGGGCTGTGTTTGAATCCGGCAAAGGCGGCCAGCCCTGCAGGCCGGGAGTTTTTTGTAGGTTTCGCTGGGGAGGTCTGCGTTGGGAGTCAGAGTGTCCTGAGTACCTAGTTCCCTTGCCTTCCTAATCGTAAGGGGACGGATTCTGGGAGGAATTTTTTCCTGATCTGGCGATTCGAGCTTGCTCTCGCAGGGAAATGGAAAACCCACACGTCCTAAATAACATTTCTTTCTTCTCGGGTTAGCAGTTTTGGGGTAAAACCCTAAGCAGTCAGACAGTCTCTGCAGCTCAAGCCTGACGACTTTTCGAGAGTGTGATGAGAAAGTGCAGGTGATACTAAAAGACTTGCCTTACCTCTTCTAACCTGGGAATAGATGGCAGTGTTGACACCTCGCCTAATTAGGTCACTAAAGATCAGACTTACTGTATTGTTACCAGCAATTACCTACTTTATTCTAATTTTGGTGTTCTATGTCAAGGTTTTCTATTCGCCTAGCAGCGTCTTTTACATAGTGGACCCTCAGAAAATGCTAGTGGGTGAATACTAAGTAATCTACATCAGGATAATTCTTTATTAGGTAACAAAGTCCTTGAGGGGGGAAAAAAAATCCCTGTTAGCGGGGTGTTTGCAACTAAAACGAAATCAGCATGTTCATTTTCGTCATTAAAAGTGGTCGTCTTGTCTTTTAGACTAAATGGCCATTAGAGTAGATACTGCCCTGTTATCTATAGTCTCAGCTTCTAGGACCTGACACATGGTAGGCACTGGATAAATATGTTGAATTAAAAAAAAATGAACTCTGGAATCAAGTCATACCAATTTTCTGTTCAACCTTGATGCTAAATTTTTACTTATAATATCTGATCATTCCATAGTCTTTTCTGCTGCTATTCTTATTATAGTTCTTAATATTTATTACTTGCTACACAGAATGATCATCATGTTCTTCCCTAGTCAAAATCTTACAGTTACTACTCAATGTCTATAGCAGTACTTGTCAACTTTTTGTTTTTGTTTTAATGACAAATGCTTTGTCATTCTTAATAATGGTTCACTCTATGATTCTAAACTTTTTATGTTCAGGGAGTAATTTGTAAAACTTACTACCAGAAAAATAAGTTCCTTACCACACTGCAGTTAATAGTAGCTTATGGTATTGTAGCATAGCATCCACATTCTTATAATTTAAGGCCTCCTATTAATTAGGCCCCATCTACTCTCTAACCTCTAAATGAGGTCTCTGTTTTAGCAAAGTGAACATACTGAGTAATCCTCTTTATTTTTGTCCAGGCTATTCACTTTGCTTGGATCACCTACAGAGTTGTTTTAATTTTTCCAGTTTTTATCTTCTCCATTAAATCTTTGATCAACTTAATTATCCCAGTGATTTCCCTTGCCCAGAAATTGTAGAGTTCCATCCAATCGAAATGATATGACTTTTATACACATGCCTTGTTTTTCCAGTCATCACCTAAAGTCTGATGATAGGTAGAGAGGGAGAACTTTCTGTACTCCTCTGTGTCTTGTCTTGTCCTTTGGCTGTGTTGATAGCAAGAGAGATATAACTGGTTCTTATGGAAGGAACATTTTGTATTCATCAAAAACTTAATGGGCATAGTAATCTCTCTAGGAACTTGCTAAATTTAAACACATACACACAGCTATTGAGTCAGCTCCTTTGGCTTTACTACTCTAGTTAAAACTGATATCCTCTGATATCAGAATCATATGTTAGTGATAATCCCCATTCAGATATATCTTAAAAGAACTGAATCATTACTAAAATGGGGCTGATTTCCTAGTTTACTTCACTCTATTCGAAATATACTCTATACACCAGTATATGGTTTATATTGTGCATTGGTTTTCACATTGTAAGGTGAATGTTAACTTCAGACTTAGATTACAAAATGTAGTCATAAGTTTTGTTTCAGAAATGAAAATAACAAAAGGTTGGGAGGAACATTAGAAATTGGCTTTTCCTCCATTCCTGATGCTCTTTGATTTTTCTTCCTGACAGAAGAAAAGCCATAATTTAAATACATATTCAGTTTACTGTTGATAAAGATGAAAGGAATATGAAGTGAATACTCTCAAACAAAATCTAAGAAAAAAAAAGAAAAGTAATTCTTAGTAGATTTAACAGTGAAAACTGTTAGGTTAAAACTATGAATAAATCAAAATCAGCCTCTACTATTGAGTATGCATTGTATAGAGAATAGAACTTGAATGATACAGTACAATTCCTAATATGGCACAGTGGTCCACCTTTGGCCATTAAGAGGCTGGATTTCCCAGAGTCCTCTATTTGAGGGCTCTCTCAAAAGGTGATGCTAGTGAGTCTTATTCCTTCTGTATACTCTGCCAGACAACACATTTTACAAACTAGATGCCCAAACTTTGTGGAATGAGTGACAACAGAGATTTTTGGATTGACATAATGAAACTTCTGAATACTACATTCAAAATAAAAAGATTCATGAAATGACATGGTGTTATCAGCTAACTGTGAAGAACACTATTGTCAAGGTGAAACCTAACTCAGAAGAAAGAGATTTTTTTTTTTTTAATAGAGGCAATTTTCATTTTGCTCTGGACTTTTTTGAAAAATAAATAAATGTAAACAACCACAGTTGATATAGCTCAGAAATTTAACTTTATTTAAAAATTATTTTTAATTGTAGATGGACACAATACCTTTGTTTATTTTTACGTGGTGCTGGGATTGAGCCCAGTGCCTCACGTATGCTTGGCAAGCGTTCTAAAGCTGAACCACAACCCCAGCTCAACTTTATAATATTTAAAGATCTCTCCAATACAATAAGTCATTGTTAATAGTAAGAAATCATCAGAGGTTAATATTCCTTTCAAGCAGGTATTTTCCAAAATAACTTTATAATGCATCTCAACAGTTTTAAGATGAAAATTGAATCAGGCATAAACTTATTCTGGAAATTAAGATGGCTTTCAAGTCTGTAATCTAAAGTATTTAAGCAGAGATGCAAGATCTTTCACAATGGATCAAAGGTGAAATATTAAGAAAAGAGTATTATGTTTATAATACAGTTGAAGAGGAAAAGTGTATGAAACAAGTAAATTCAGAAAGCATTCTGATTGGCCTTTTTAAAAAAATGCTCTGTTGAAAATAGATATTCTATGAAAGATAAAAAGACAATGAAAAAGATACTGAAATTATGCCCATGGTTTCTTTGTGATTGTATCTGAATAACGAGACTATGGTGATTTCTTGTTTATGCTTTTATATATTTTAACTTTATAAATGAGTATGTGAGTTTTCATTTTCCAAGAAAAAAGCAAAAACAGAATACAGCCCTCTTCCATAGCTCCCTTGCCTGCTCCCTGAGAATGTGGCCTGAGGCAAGAAGATATCACCAGATTCTTGCCAAACTTACAAAGAACCACTTAATTAAAAAGACAAATTTTGTAAATAACTGAAATGTTTCTACTTATAAAAGAGGGGGAAGGTATCATGTATTGAAGAGTAGATTCATTCTTGGAAAACTGAAAAGTGTTTTTGGGAAATACTTGTATTGAACCACCAGAAATACCTAGGAATCGTTTAAAGTTCACTTGATTTGGTTTTACTTGCACTTCGTTCCAAATACAGTGGCTAACTTGCATTCTGCAGAAAAATCAAGAAACCTCAGACTTGGGGTCTCTTTTCCCCCCAGATGTTTATATGGTGTATTCGCTCACTTGAGAGTCCTCAAATGTCGCCTCCTCAAAAAGGGCTTCCATGTCTACCATATGTAAAATAGTATCTCATCCCTGTCTTTGTCCCATTTTTTTGCTTTAGCACTTATCATACCTAGTACTCTATTATGCATTTTATTTCTGTTGTATTCCTCATTAAAAAGCAAGTTTCAACAAAAGCAGGTACTTTTTTTTTTGCCTTCTATATTTCCATTCCAATGACAGTGTTTAATAGTAGGCACTTTCATAAATAATTGTCTAATATATTATTGTGCATATTGAACAGCTGTGTTATTATGTGTGGAAGAAGAAACAAATAATTTATAGTCTCTGAAAAATCAGGTTTTGTTGTAATAACATAAAATGGAGGGGGGTGATTAAGGAAAACTTCACAGATATTTTTAAATTATCTTAAGGAATGGACAGGAAATCATCCTTTAGAACAAAAAAGTTAGGAACATTTCAGGTGAGAGTATATGAGAGGGCAGAGGCTGTCTATCTTAAACCAGTTTTCTTTCTTTCTTTTTTAAGCCATTTAAAGTTTTGGCAACTGAAACTGTAAGTCACAAGGCATTAGATGCAGATATATACAGTGCAATTCCAACAGAAAAAGTGGATGGAACATGTTGTTATGTTACTACCTACAAAGGTAAAATAAAACTGTAATGTTTCCTACAAGTATTTCTTAACTTTATTGATCATTTTAAAACTATATAAATCTGAAATGGGCATTTACTCTTCATAAACCCTTAGAAGCCTTAGTAACAAAATTAAAATGTGATAATTGTTATTTATTACATTATTATGTTTTTCTCTTGGGGTAGGAAAGTAACATTTATTTAATACCTGTTATGGGACAGGCAGTATTATAAATGCTTCATATATTATATTTAATTTGTATAATAAGGTTCTCCATATCACAGATAAAGAAACTCTCAGCTCTCTTAATTTGTCCAAGACCATATAGTTAATGAATAGCTGTACTGTTGATGCAACTTAATTTTGTCTAACCCTAAAGCCTGTTCTCATTTTATGATTCCAGAGCTGTTTCCATTAGTTTTATTATTATTGGCAATATGTCTAATTTCATTTAATGTACTTTAAAAGTAGTAGAAATTTAAACAAAAACTGTCAACTATGTTAAGAAAACAAATGCACTGAAAAGAGAAGAATTCTTTGTGATTATCTCTGGATGGTGAAATTACCTCTCATTCCAGTAAAAGAAGTAGAACAGTTAAGTGGGCATACAGACACACTCTTTGTATCAGGAAATCTCTTCTGAAAAATCATTTAAAATTTTTTTTAAAGGATGGTAAAATAGAGTTTAACATCTTAAACATTTTTAAGATGTATACAATATGGTGGTATTTTAAGTACATTCCTACTGTTGTGCATTCACACCACCCATCTCCAGGACTCTTTTCATATTTTATAACTGAGACTTAATACCTACATTCCTTGTCCAGCCAGCCCCTTGTAACCAGAATTCTATTTTGTCTCTATGAACTTGACTACTCTAGGTGCCTCATATTGTGACTGACGTATTTTCCTTAGTTTAATGCCCTCAGGGTTGATCCATGTTAGCATGTATCAAAATTTCATTTCTTTTTAAGGCTGATAATATTCCATTTACTTAAATATATAAATTAAGATATTTTCAAATTTTGTTTATCCATTCAACCACTGAAGGGCATTTGGGTTGCTCCTACCTTTTGTAGGAATAATGCTGCTATGAACAGGGGTAAACAATTCTCTCTTAAGACCCTGCTTTCAAGTTTTGGGTATGTGTCTAGAAGTGGAATTACTAGATCATATAGTAATTTTCATTTTTGAGAAGCTGCCATGTTTTCTATAGTGGTGACACCATTTTACATTCTTATGGACAGTGCACCAAAGTTCCAATTTGTATCCTCATGAGCACTTGTATCTTTTTCTCTTTTTGGTACCAGGATTGAACTCGGGCACTCAGCCACTGAGCCATATCCCCAGGCCTTTTTGTGTTTGAGACAGGGTCTCACTGAGTTGCTTAGTGCCTTGCTGTTGCTGAGGCTGGCTTTGAACTTGAGATCCTCCTGCCTCAGCCTCCTGAGACGCTGGGATTATAGGCATGTGCCATCATACCTGGTGTATTTTTGTTTTTTGATAGTAGCCTAATGGAAATGAGTGGACTGTACTTTTTATATTTACTGGTTAAAAAGAACAAAACATCTATTCAACCAGGAATGATAGTATAATTTTAATTTGGTTCTTTATATTATCTGGATAATTAGTAAGCAATAGAAAATATCTGAACCAAAGTATAATTATTTTTTATAAATGTTGATTTATATTTAAGGAAACTAAGATTTTCCCTGTCCTTAATATTAAGAACTTTTAGTGTTATCCTTATGTACATGATAGTATCAACTAAGCAAGGTTGGAGTTTAACTGCTAAAGAACCCTCGTGGAAATCAAGATGACAGTGTATACAAATCTACATTTTATTACTGGTAAAAGGCATATAATATAACAAAGGGCTTTAAAAGTAAGGATGTGAATTATAGCAAAGGACTGTCTGAGGGAGCAAGGGGTCTACAAAGGCCAGGTGAAAACTGTATTTTTTTCCTGCTTTAAATCCTGGCAGGATACATTTTCTCAGATCAGGATCAGGATCCACTGATGTGTGCAGGCAACACTTTGAAACCAGGGATCCAAAATAATATCTCAGCTAGAAATCATTCTAATTTTGCTGATCAAGTAAGCATCTTCCTACTAAGTAACCAATCTCAACAGCAGAGCGATCCAGGAGTCTAAAGCCAGGTGCAACTCATCAAATGCACCTGTGCCAATAATGTTGGCACAGTGCCCTGAAACTCGGACCCATCATTACAAGGCAGCAATCAGTAGGTTTAATGGCTTGACTAGGGGTTGGTCCCATGCAAAGCAGGTCAGCCTGATTCCAGGGTTAGTTCTTACAGAATTACACAGCACAGTGTTATGTTCAGGGGGAGATGTGAATACAATTACCTGGTGATGTTTCTATTTTGGATATAGCTTTCTTTGGTTTCTTACAGATGCTACTAATATGATTTCATGCAAAGCAGGTCAGCCTGATTCCAGGGTTAGTTCTTACAGAATTACACAGCACAGTGTTATGTTCAGGGGAGATGTGAATACGGTGATGTTTTCATTTTGGATATAGCTTTCTTTGGTTTCTCACAGATGCTACTAATATGATTATGGAATATCCTTATAAAAGGACCACATTTTTAGTTCTTATCTCATCTCCATCATTCTTTAATCAAAGTCAGTCTTTCATAACATAAGGTACTGCTAGGTGGTGTGTATCTTGGACTGCATATTTTCCTTTGTCTTCTAGGGTTTTGATTCTTCTCTTGGAGAGATCACCTTACTGTTTATTGATAATTCTACTTTGAAGTATCTTTCAAGATAAATGTTGTTTGCCTCTTAAACACTTTTCTTTTTATGAATTTTTTTTTTTTAGATCAGCCATATCTTTGGGCTCGACTAGATAGAAAACCCAACAAAAAAGCTGACAAAAGATTTAAAAATTTTCTACATTCCAAAGAAAACTCAAAAGGTTAGTAGGTTTTTTTCTTTACTTCCAAAATTTAAATAGCTGAAATTTGTAGTTATTTTTCTACTTTTTTTATTCATATGTGGTGCTGAGGATCAAACCCAGGGCCTCACACATGCTAGGCAAGCAGTGTACCACTGAGCCTCAACCCCAGTCCCTGTGGTTTATTTTTGCTATGACATTTCTATACATTTTTATCCTTCTGAATTTTTAAAGCAATTTGGGTAACAAAGATGATAGTTGAGTATTTTCATATATTTAAGAATGTTACTGAAGGGCTGGGGATGTGGCTCAAGCGGTAGCGCGCTCGCCTGGTTTGCGTGCGGCCCGGGTTCGATCCTCAGCACCACATACAAACAAAGATGTTGTGCCCGCCGATAACTAAAAAAAAATAAATAAATGTTAAAATTCTCTCTCTCTCTACCTCTCTACCTCTCTCTCTCTCTTTAAAAAAAAAAAATTTAAAAAAAAAAAAAAAGAATGTTACTGAAAAATATTTTAAAATATTTTCCTAGTATTTCTGTGACTCTTCATCAGTCTATTTTATTAAAACATACAATATTATAATGCGAGATACATTTTCATTTTATATGCATAAGAGAAAAATATAATTTTATCGATCTGGCAAAATCTCAAAGGAAAATTAGCATTTTAAGTTATGACATTAAGATGCCTCTAATTATTTTATTTATTTATATATATATATATATATATATATATATATATATAAAATATACAGACCTACAGTCATTCATGTCAGTAATTTATGTATTTGTATTTATAGTACTTTAAAAATTCATCATATACCTACATAAAATGGAACATTGGCAACTTTATATACACTTTATATATATATATATATATATACTTTATATACATATTCAAATGGTGGTATATTCAGAATTGAAAATTTTAAATGTTAGTACCATAACACTGAGGAATATAGTCACATTATAGTGAAAATGTGACTAACTGTAACATACATTATGAGGTTTTATTCACTATTCCCACTTTGAACCTATATTTTGGTTTTTTAAAGTATGACCAAAAATAAGATTATCTACTCTTTTTAGAATTTCTTTGGAATGTTGAGGAGGATTTCAAACCTGTTCCGGAGTGCTGGATACCAGCAAAGGAAATAGAACAATTAAATGGAAATCCAGTACCTGATGAAAATGGACACATTCCTGGTATCATGAAAAATCTCTTTCTAAATGCAGTTTTGTGTTTACTAGTATAAAATCTGAAAGGCTCATTCAATCAGAAATTGCAGAATTTAATTTTAATGTGGTTCTTTTCTTTATATGTACAGAATAAAACTTCTAAATCAAATTTATGTAATGTTTTAATCTCTATTAAAAATGTTTCAAGCCAGGCATGGTGGTACATTCCTGTAATCCCAGCAGTTTGGGAGGCTAAGGCAGGAGGAGCAAGAGTTCAAAGCCCAAAGCAACTTAGCGAGACCTTGTCTCAAAATAAAAAAATAAAAAGGGCTGAAGATGTGGCTCAGTAGCTAAGTGCCCCTGGATGCAAAAAAAGAAAAAAAGATGTTTCATACTAAGCATGTCCTTTTAGGCTTAGAATTTTATCTAAGACATTTTACTCACCATAGTATGTAACAATAAGAGTTGAGGCTAAAGATATAGAATGGGCTCAGACCTTAAAGGCTCTGGTATTTCATGTAGTTTTTAAGTTTATTCTGAAGATACTGGTTACAGAACAGTGCTACAACTAAGTTTAAATTTCAGAAACAGAACTATGTACAAAAGTTGGGTAGGTTTCACTGGAAGCTAATGGACTAGCAAAGAAGTGATTACAGTAATTGGGGGCTAATGAAGGTAACAAATGTGGTCACTAGGGCACATATGTCCTAATTTTTCCTCCTTTTTTGCAATGAGTTTCTCCCACAATGAGAGGGCCTATTCTGGCAATAAGACTGAAAAAAGTAATAGTAGTAATTTTTTTTTGGGGGGGGGGGGGGGGGGGAGACATGGTACCAACAACTGAACCACACTCCCAGCCCTATTTTCTATTTGTTTAGAGACAGGGTCTCACTGAGTTGCTTAGCTCCTTGCCATTGCTGAGGCTAGTTCTGAACTCATGATCCTAATGCCTCAGCCTCCCAAGCTGCTGGGATTACAGGTGTGTGCCACCACGCCCGGCTAGCAATAACTTAATACATATGTAATCAATAAATTGTTCAATATACATTAAATATTTTGCAGTAGATTGTGAAACACCTACATATTGTCCTTGTTTCTGAAAGTGACTGGAGAGTAGAAAATCATTTTTTAAAAAGTTGTAATGGTATCTTAAATTGGTGTTTAGTTGTTAACAGATTAATTCCTCAGTAGAATAAAAAAATGAAGCCATATGGTCTTTTTAAGAAAAGGAATAAAACTTTATCTCACTGATTTTAAAAGTATATGTCTGATAAAACATCCAAAAAACTGGAAATTTACAACAGAAATTAAAATTACTGTGTTTTCAATCCAAAGAAAACCAACGTAATAAAAATAATTTTTTTCTTTAAATGATAGGTTGGGTACCGGTGGAGAAAAACAACAAACAGTATTGCTGGCATTCCTCTGTAGTTAATTATGAATTTGAAATTGCTCTGGTACTAAAGCATCATCCGGATGATCCTGGACTTTTGGAAATTAGTGCAGTGCCACTGTCGGATCTCTTAGAACAAACATTGGAGCTTATAGGAACAAATATCAATGGAAACCCCTATGGTGAGTGAAGTCATTTTCTTTTTCAGTTATAGTGACTGCCATTTATAAAAAGTACCTCTTAGGGTCAACTTGAAATTCAACACATACAGCGGGCATAATGGCACATACCTGTAATCCCAGCATCTCCACAGGCTGAGGTAGGAGGATCCTGAGTTCGAAGCCAACCTTAGCAATAGCAAGGCACTAAGCAACTTAGTGACACCCTGGCTTAAATAAAATACAAAAAAAGGGCTGGAGATGGGGCTCAGTGGTTGAGTGCCCCTCAGTTCAATTCCCAGTATCCCCCCAACCCAAAAAAACAAAACACATACATACACTAAAGAAATACAGTAGCAATTTTGAGTTGGTTTCCTAGGTTTATAGCCATTTGTGTTAATCATATTCACAGAAAAGTTCATGGCTAATGGTTTTGAATTATTAATCCAAAAGGTTGATTCTATCCTATCTTCCCTGTGGTAACATTGTACAACTAACTATGCATGGAAGTAATTCAGGTGCAACTTTTCATTTTTTTTTTTTTTTTATTTAGAATGAGAATGTACTTTGGTTAGGTAGTTATTTTCACAATTAATGAAAATGGGAAAAATGAGGTAAATAAAGATCTTAATGAATATCATATCAAACTTCAGAATATATACCATGACAGATTTGAGTACACTGAGGGCCCTATGAATACCTCTTGACTGGAAAATAAGATGATGAACCTATGGACACTGAAGGTATATAGCAAATTCCTATGTAGAGATCAAAAGTAGATTGACTCTCAGGTGTAAGGCTAAGATAGTACTTAAACAAGGTGTAAGGCTAAGATAGTACTTAATATCAGAGATACAGTGTAGCTTTTTGGCAGATACTCAATGATAGTTGAAGGTGGCCAATGGTACAAATGAACTGCTATTGCAATGTTCCATTCAAACTATTTACAAAATACAGTTGTTTGTCTAGGCTTGGCTTTCAGATTGTAGTTTGACATCTCCTAGTATAGAGTATAGAAAAGTAGAATTTGAACTTAATGGAATAGATGCCACATTTGAATAAGAGCAGTGCTTGGATTACACTCTCTTAAGGAAAACCAATTAAACTTTATAAAAATGTTACTCCTAAATGTTTTAAAAAGACTTTTTTAAAAAATTTTTTCATTCTTTCTGAAAAGTTCCTCTGAATCAGTATGGCTAATGGCAGATTTTACCATTTAGGGTTAGGAAACAAGAAACAACCATTGCATCTTCTTGTACCACATGGAGCATTTCAAATAAGAAATTTGCCTACATTGAAGCACAGTGATCTGTTGTCCTGGTTTGAAGGTTGCGAAGAGGGTAAAATTGAAGGAATAGTATGGCATTGCCATGATGGCTGCTTAATTAAGGTAAGGTAAAAAAATATATACCTCATGTTGGGTTATGTCATCTTACATTCCTACAAGAAGAAGAAGTGGTTCTCAAATTCTCTGCACAAACTGTAACAGCTCTGATTCTAAAGCAAAGAAATACAATTCCCTTATCTCACATAGCACCAACCTTTATATGCAAAAACAGTGTTTCCCTACATGTATTCCATGGGTCACTGATTATACCAGCTGGGGTTCAAAATTAAGTGGTACTACATGTCCTCCTCTTGGGAATTCATGTTGCCCATTAGAGCTCTCTGAAAGACATCCTACACCTAGTTTAACTCAGTGTCTCCCAAGCTTACTTTATTGCAAAATTTGTTGAGTAAAAGGAGTGCCGAGGTGGCAGTTGATAAATACAGAATGAATTATGCTTTCTGCCCTGTTTGTCCCCTGGACTTTTCCATTTGATTTCTCATAGGTGACAGAATGCTGCTTTTTGCTTTAATCATAATTGGTTAAACACTGTTAGAATATACATAGTTCAGGGTTGGGGTGGAGAGCAGTTCTGAAAAGTTAATCATCGGCTCCAGATCATGAAAAACCTTAATGTAATGACCAATTTTCTCATATGAAATTCATGTTTAAGAACTAGGTCTTTATCAATCCTCTAACTCTCTACAATTCATTGAAGTTAAAAACTTGGATATTATTTTTAAGCCCTCTTTCCATAACTTCCTATGTCCATTATCAGTTCTTAAAGATTCTAATCTGTTGAATCTATATACTTCTCGCCAACCAATTACTGTTAATTTTAATTCACAGGCCAATGTTTATGCTTAAATTATATTGTCCTCCTAAACATTACCTTTCAGTCTTACCTTTGTCCTGTTCATTCTTCATAAATGAGAGTATTATTTCCCTGCATAAAATTGTTCTTTGCAGGATAATAAGGCATCCTAAATAAATAGATCTAAGTGAATTAGGTATTGTTTAAAAATTAAAGCTAATACCCTTTTTTTCTCTTTACAGGTTCATCGCCATCATCTTGGTTTATGCTGGCCAATTCCAGATACTTATATTAATTCAAAACCTGTTATTATCAACATGAACCTGAACAAATATGACTATGCCTTTGATGATACGAAGTGTTTGTTTAGTCATTTTTCAAAAATAAATAATCAAAAATTTGGTAGGCTCAAAGACATAATATTTGATGTAAAATGAAAATGTAATTAAAATTACCTTTGTATGTTCAAATCTTGAATATTCTGCCATGTTAAAAGGTAAAACTGAGATTTACTGTTGTGTACTATGAAACATCAGTGTCTTCTGGCATTTGAAGAAATTAATTTTCCATTTGGAAATACCTATTCAAATTTTTATTTAGAATCAACACATTAATTTTAACCTCTGGGCATAAAAATGTAAAAATGAACAGTATGCTCCCCAAGCTTGTATAACTTGATTCTGTCCAATGTAACTGGGTGGTTAAATTTAAAGGCAACAATTAAACCCGTAATTTTTTTTTTTTTAATCAATACTTTAAATACCTTGAGCTCAATTTAATCTTCCTAGACATTTAACAAAATGTATGTTTTAATCTTAAAACTTAATGGTTGTATGTACAGATCATAGTATTTGACAATCTTAAATAACTGTTAAATATGTATAAATTCAAAAATATATTTTTCTAATAAGTTGAAAATTTTCTATAATTTACTAAAACTTCCAATTTAAGTAAAAGGAGAACATATTGAGAAGGAAAGTCTTTAGTTCACGGATTTGCTTGATTACAGATGAAACTTATATAATTAATCAAAAGCTAAATACATTAACATGAGGCCTTCAATAAATGGGGAAATTAACAGGACTTTCTTCGTCTTCAGACTGTTCAGAAGAAGTAGCAACAGGGCTACTTAATTCAACTCCAAATTGTTCAGAAAGTTTTTTTAACTTCTCTTCTAAGAGAATATTTTTTTTCACTTCTTCTTTGTAATTATACTTAAGATCTTCAATTTCTTCAAAAAATGAAGGGTCAAAATTTTCCAATTCTTTTTTCAGCTTTTTTATTTCCTCCTAATAGAAGAAACATATTAACTTTAAAAGTTGCACATAGAAGAAAGAGCATGTTTTGGTTTGAACTGAAGAGATTTAACTTATAAACATGAAAGCTAAAATAACTTGAAGTCAAATAGAGTTACAAAGGCAGAAGTATTTTCATAAGATTTGTTAATAGGGTTTTACTGTACAGTATGAAGAACTTGTTAACTGCCAAATTAAATGATATATTCTGAAATTATGTACTAGCCTTTAATTAAAATTTATTAACTCTCGAGAATATGAAATTTAATCTTTCCTTAAAAGCACATCAATAAGTCAATCAAAATGAACTTTGGTATTCACAACATTGAATTTGTTCTGGTTAAGATTTTTGTTTTATGCTTCATTACAATATCTACTTTTTAATGAATAATAACCAACTTCTTATAAGCATATTTATGATTAGAGAAACTTTGGGACTTCTCCTTGGCTAAGTTAGGCATCTGGTGAAGAGATAAATTGAGTCTTATTGGCTATTTAGAAGAGGCAGTGATAACCAGATAATTATCCATGCCCTTTTTTTCTGTTTACAGAATCTTAAAGTATGTAAAGCATAAAAAATTTTTTAAGTGAACTATAACTTTATGGAAAGGTTTCTAAAAAGAATTTAAAAAGGTACTTAAAGACACTGTTCCAAATGTGACATAAAATGTAATATCTTAAAAACTATAAAGAGCTAGATTTGTTATAACTACTAAATAAATTTACTTTCTAATCCTTTCTAGTTGTTCTATCTGAATGTTTTGTTAGCTCTTAAACACAATTAGCTTTGTAATATCCAGGCAAAATATTATAAGAAAAAAATGTAATTCCTTGAATTTTTAAGACATGTACTGAAAACTCAAAGATGGTGATCATAAATTGTTTCTCACAAACATTTATAATACTAATATTAGATAAAATTATTTAATTACCTTCAAATGCTGCTTTTCTAAATCTGATATTTTGAGCTGTGTTTCTAGATCTTTTATTTGTTCCTTTAGTTGGTCAGCATCTGCCAAAAAAAGTTATAAAAACTAGACTCACACTTTTTCTATTCTGAATTAAGTTCAACATAAAGGATTTGATTTAGAAAATAAGCAGAAAACTTATGAAACTTAGAGCCTTGAAAATAGGGCTAAATAGTTGAAACTTTCTCAGGCTGTGAATACTATTTTAAAACATTCTGTTAGGCATTGTCATTTCATAGCAACCAAAGAGAAAAGGCATCTGCCCGGAGTTAGAAGTGGAGATAAATGCTTTAGAAGCAATTCTTATTTTTCAGAGAAAAATCCTACAACTAATAAAATCTGTTAGGTACTAAAAGTACATCAGAAAAGCAGACTACTAGATAAGTGGCTAAAACGGTGAGCTGGCCAAATGTTACTTCTATCCCACAAGCAATGGCTACTCCACATAGGTCATTTACTGTGCCATTAGTATGTGCACAATACCCTAGGGCAGGGTATTTGATACAACTAAAACATCAGACACAGCCTGTTACTTTGGCAGGAAAACAAAAGCAAATACAGCACAAAGGTTTGAATTTACTGGATGTGCTTCCATGTTAACATACTGCTAATTTTATAGTGAGAATCAATAGGCAAATGGACTTTTTAATCCCACGTTTGCTAGATATATAGATCACTTTTTTAAACACTATATATAATGTGTCAAGTCACATGTAACTGTTGAAAGGTAAACATTTTTTAATGTTAAAGTTTGAGAAAATAATAGACAGCAAACAAATGTACATGACTCAAGCATATTCTATTAAGGTACCCTGGGAATGATCCCCTCCCTATGTATAACTAGGAGAAGAATGGAGATAAAAAGACTAAGGAAAAATTTTGTTACGGGATTCTGTTAAGTAGAAAACAAACTTTGAAAGATTCCCTCACTTTTGCACAAAGTGCTAAGAAATTTTAAGTTGATTTTAATATTTATATATTACATAGACTGGTAGTGAAACAATGCAGGAAGAAGTGAATATTATGTATAGCATCTTCCAAAAGCTATTTAAATGATCACATCTATTTTTGATAGTAATTCTGAACTGCCAAAACAGTTTTGGTTTGATTTGGGAGCTTAACAATTAATAAAATATGACAGGCATCTTTGTCTCTTTCCCATAGGAAATATGAAACAAGAGGGCTCAGAAATTCCCTGAGAATACACATTTAGAAAAAATAGCATGCCTAATGTCAACAGTATTAAAAGGTCTTTTGCACTACACTATGTCTAGTCTTGTACAGTTCAAGCTGAGTGCTATCAGAGATATATCAAGAGATTAATGCAAGTAATTTTATTCACCAAGAGGCACTACTGCATAGTGGTTAAGAGCAGGGAATAGCAAGGAACTTTGGAATTTTGTTGAATTAGGTTTTCATCTTGCCTCTGCCACTATCTAGCTATTATAACCTTGGGGACTGGTTATCAACCTTGAGTCTGTTTATCACATGAAAAATGATGACAACAACTTATCTGTAGGTTTTAAGAATAAAGTAGAATGCTTGTGAAGCACTTAGCATAATGTCTAGTACAAGTCACACATGATGGCTTTACTACAAAGTAACATCAGAGCTATATGATAGGATACTGAAAAGGCTACATGAAATAGTCAAAAAATTGTTCAGATAAAAATTGATATAATCTTTCATGCAAAATTTGGCACTTCCATTAAGTCATTAATGGAACCATTAGGTTAAGAGGTTCACAGAATTAGTTTATAATAGCAGAAACTCAAATGTCCATGAAAAGGTAAATAAATAAATGTGGCATCCATGCAATAATCATGATTATAAAATCATTAAAAGAGTGAGACAGATTTGCATACAGACCTCAAAAGATGTCCCTGATATATATAGTAAGTTGGGAATATGGTATGAATCCAATTTTATACCATCCTCCAAGAAAATATTTATACATATATATAAAATAATATACATATAATGTCTATTCTCTTCATTCACAGAAATTATATCACTATTGCTGGGGGAAGCATGTACATACACATATTTCTTCTTATATAGAGACAAATATTAGAAATATGAACAAAAAAAGCAAACCCTAATAAAAAGTTGGGGTAGCTAACAAGTCTTACAAAATATATTACCAGGTGTGATGCTTTCAACTCCACTTTGGTCCTTGTTATCTTCTATCTGATGGATTAATTCTGCTTTTTCTTTATTCAGCTGATTATTAGCTAATCTAAAACACAACAATACTGTATTTAAAAACAAGAGACATTGCTCCAGGAAATACATAGACATTCCTTATCAATTAGTGATGAACAAAACCCCAAATGTGCTAGTATTTACCAAGGTAAACATCTACTCTCTATGTTGCAATGCCCCATTTTGCAAACCAAGCACAGAAGCAAATATCTTCATGTTTTTCTTAATATGTGACCAAATGTTTTTTTAAGAGTTTTCTTATGAGAAGAGCCCAGTGGAAGCAGGCTATACAGACTTCTAAAGGTAAAGAATTACTTGTTCTTTTTTCATTAGTATTTGCCTCAGGAAGCCAAAGTTTAATTCCACCTGTGCTGTTACGAAAGTTTAAATTACAAACTGGCAACTTATTTTTCAGTATCTAGTATGTAAAAGAGGGACTGCTTGGTATCAGAAGGATGAAATAAGGATTGAATGATCTCATTAGGCAGCCAAGTTGAAAGACCCTTTGTTTCTAGCTTTAGGAAACCAAGTTATTTAAAAAGTAATAACTTAAGAAAAAGAAAGAAACAAGTCATATGAACACAGAATGTACCTAAGAACTTGAAGCTCCCGTTTAAGGCCTTGCTCTGTCTCAGTACCTTCAGGAACATGTTTGAGAATCTCAATCTTTAAGAAGATATAAGTTTAGCACAGAAATATGAGGTTTTATAAACACATTTTTAATAAAGTAGAATATTAAAAGTTGGGTTTCAAAGACACATTTCTATTTCTTTTTACTCTTCATTCATTCAACAATTATTAACTACTGCATGTTAGTTATTGTCCTAGGTACAGAGGATATAGCAGTGAATATAATAGCCAAAGTCCCTTCTTGCATGGTCCTTTTAGTTAGTGAAGACAGTAAGCATATAATATGACATGTTATGTGATAACAATCCGAGAGAAGAAAGAACCATCAAGAAAAATAATCCAGGACAAGAAAAGAGAGTGGAGAAAGGTAGTATTGGATTATGGTTAGGGAAGGACTCTCTGAGGAGCCTCTATTTAAAGAGAGACAAAGTATGGGAATGGACTATGATAATATTGGGTGAATAGTATTTTAAACAAAGGAGCATTTGCAAATATTTGAACTTTAAATGAGTTTGGTTTGTTCAAAGGATTGAAGGAAAGCATATGGCTAAAACACCGAATTAAGGGGAAAGTGGCATATGATGAGACTGAAGGAAAAAAAAAATAGGTGCAGACCAATTATGTCTTTACAGGTTATACTTCACTATAAAGTTTTATTCTAGAGTAACAGAGAACCATTGTAAGATTCTGTGTGTGATAGTGTTATAATAAAAAATTGGGGTAGCTAACAAGTCTTACTGTTATAATTTGCTTAATGCTTTCAAAGGATTATTTGACAACCATGTAGACCAGAAATATGGAGGTGAAATGACATGAGAAGGGAAGCTAAGACAACAGTTAGGAGATTAACATAAGAATGGTAGTGATGAAGATGCTGCACAGTATTCTTATTTGGGATATATTTGAAAAAAAAAATAGCTGAAATGATTTAATCATGAAAAAGATGAGAGGAATCAGAAGAAATGAAGTTAATGATGATCTAGTTTTTATCTTACATAAATGAATGAAATGGTGGTGGTGCCATTCAGTTAGATGGGCCTCCTAGGGAGAAATTATCAAGTGTTGTTTTTTTTCTACTTCATACAATGCAAGGAATTTCATTGTATGAAGTAGAAA